GAATATGACTCAGAATCAGATTCATATTCAAACGAATTGTACAACCAATCACCATGATACCTGACATCCAATCCAGTAGAAGCACCCACTGAATTGTACCACCTCTCACAATGTGACTTATTATTCTGCTTATTCTCGTCCCTCTTACTAGTGTATAATTTGGGAAGGCCCAAGCTCTAGTCAAATCGCCGCATACACTCTCTCAAAGCCACATGGGTTGCTTGCCTGACTTTTTAGTATCATTAAAAAAAATCTCTCGTAAGCGATTTGAGCCTCTTTTCAAAGTTATTTTTTAATTTTACATTATGTCGAGGCAACCACCTAAAATTTTTTTATTTAAGATAATCAAAATAGAAGATATTAGTAGTCATTTTGTAAAAATATTTAAAATTATGATAATTACTATTAGTTTATCTCATATTCCATGAACATCTTGAGGTATTAATTTTCCAAAATAGATAACAAATCTCATGTGTGAGCTATCTAACTAGATTAAATTTAGATTAATATTAATTGTCAAATATCAGTATTATTTCATACAACTAAGCAAATAAATAATAATAATAATAAACTTGCATATTGCTTTCAGGCTATGTAAGGCCAATATTTTTGTCCAATTATGCTGAACTTTAAATTCGGGTACTCAATACTCTGATAATATAAATTGAATAATGGTAGGTATGCTATTCACTATTTCAAGTACTTGAGAACCGCTTAACCTGGGTGAAGGAATTGATCTAAATCATACGATTGTTTATTCAAATGGTTACTACTATGATTTTATATACGCTCGGATGCATATGTTCAACCTTTGACATACTCAATTTGTCTTGATGATTTTTGACTTGGATAATAGTGTCCATATAATTCTTATCTTCAAATTTCTTTTGGAATTTCTAAGCATTATTTTTTTTTACATCACATGATTTTGAGTTTTACTATCTACTATTTCGCTTTATTTATTTATTGAGAGTTTTGTTTGTAGCTTTTTTGCTTTAAAAAAAATTAATTTTGGCTATTTCAAATTTTCATTGTAAGACTTAAATATACATCTTTTGATTAAAGAAATGAGCCGTGCATGACCCTCATTTCTTCATAAAAAAATATAGTAATTTTAATAAATATTTTTTTGTTTAAATGGCAAGGTTTTTTATAACAATAAGACAAAAGAGAAAAAAAATATGGAAGATGCTACTTAGGCTAAGAAAAAGATGAGAGAAGATGAAAGAGATAACTTATTTTTATTGCCCACTTTTGCTTGATACAAACCTAAAAGCATCATCATTATTTATATTGATAATACCTCTATTAAAATTGCGCTAACATATTTCAACCTAATTGTTACAATATAAAGAACTTTCTATAAAGTTCCTCTCTTTTCTATAATAAAAAAATATTAAAATTTTGTTTTGAGAGATTTTTGTGCTAAAATTTGATTTAAGAAGTAATAAAAAAATTATCCCATATAGAGCCGACGTACGAAAAAATAAGGAATCACAAAAAGGTTCGGATAAGTTTGAGCGTGTGATGTTGCGTCATTGCTGTTTTCCTCAAAATGAAAAGAACATTTACAACTTGGTCTGACACTAGAAATAGCTGGCTGTAGCACGAAAAGCTAATGTAGCTGATGAACAAGTTCTAGTAAGAATCTGATGGAAGCTCTCGTCCACTATTTCGTAACCAAAATATGTGCTTGCTTCCTCTCATGCATATAAATGCAAATATGCACTGAGCATAAAAGAGTGGGCGATATATCACAGGCAATTTCTGGCATTTGCAGGCACTTGTAGGGCTCAACTTGTGTGGTTTTTGGCTTTAAAAACCCAAACCTACTTAGCTAGTTTTCAATGCATGTGTGAAGGTGAAGCGTTTAGCACAAAACTTTAGCTGTAATACCAGTGGCCAATTGCCACCCCAAGATATTCGGCCCCAAAATGCGTGTGTATATATATCATATAAAATTTATAATAATTAATTCAAATAAAAATCGTTGGCAAAAAAAAAAAAAAAAATCAAAATCAAACATATTCTCTTATTAATTGATTGATTAGACGGATCTCTTAACTTTATATGTTTCAACTAGCATAAGTAGATGTATTTTCAGCAATGAAATTGTCAAAGCAAAGTTACAAAATAAAGAGAAAGATGATTTTATTGTAATTTCGATGATAACATCTGTTGAGACGGATATTCCAAATAGTTTAGTGGTAGACTGGGGTTTCATGTAGGATGATTTTCTTATTGCTTCTTAAAGCAGCTGTTTAACACAAAAAAAAAAAAAAAGTTTTAAGAAGAAGTAAGAAAATCATCCCAATTAATCAAAGTCTCAATGGTCGATACTTTTGACTTAATAAAGAAGTATTGAATAAATTTTAATATGACGAACGATAATAACTAGATTAAAGGATGTAATTTTGTTTAGTTTGCATGTTGTTCCTATTTACATATTTTTTTTGTACTTGTGTTAGCTAAAAAAACCAAAACTTTTAATTTCAATATATTTTAATTGATTTTAATTTGCATTTTCCTTACGAGAAAGTTAGCTAGAGACCAGGAACAATTATTTTGAATAGAATTTTGCTATTTCATGGTAAGCCATATGTGTCAAAAGTTGTTTCATAGGATAAATTACTAAGGAATTGTATTTTACAACGTATCAATAAAACTATTTTATCATATTTAAAAGATTTATTCATGATAAAATATTTTTAAGCTAAAATATTTTTAGGATTTTTGAGTCAATGAAGGTAAACTCATACACATGCACACATCACATACGTAAGCTTCAAATCCAAGCCCTCTTAGTTGAGAGCTAAAACTCTCAACCAATCTATGTATTTTTAAGTTAATTACTTTAAGCTATTTAGTTTTGAATCTTTAATCAATTATATACCAATTTTTCAAGCACATTTGTTGATTTAAATAAAACTAAACATGTTTATCGAAAAATAATTTTTGTTGAATTCAAATTAACCTGTTGATGATACCTACTATTATTAGCAGGCAAGTTAAGAAGTAAGAAGGGTATGAGCCAAATACTTTTGGTGCATATGAAAAGATCTAAAATATGTCTCATTATCCTTTATTTATAGATATATAAAATGCTAAAAAAATACATAAAAAAACAAAAATAAATGGCCTCTAATATGGGGCAAATTACGTCCGGACATCCAGTCCAGACGCGCCATATCACCTAAATAAACTGGAACCAGGTGTATTTTGGTGATGTGACGCGTCTGGATTGGTGTCCGGACGAATCCGGACCCTGGATGTAATAATTTGCCCTAATATGGACTGCTTTGGACATAAAATATTTCTCCTATTTACAAACAACTAAATGCCCCTAGTGAATGGCGAGTGATCTCATTAATTATTTTGATTTAATAAGCTAATTTACTTTAAAAAGGATAATGTCTTTACAAAGCCACTTTACATTGTCGAAATGAAGCATTTTCTTATTACTTTTTTAATATAAAGGTTTCGTAGGTACTTCCTACCAAACACTTTTTAACGAGTGGGTTCCATCTCCATCGCACCAAGCCACAGCCGCATCCTTCTTCGTACCACCTGCATGCGACAAATGGGCACACAGGAGGCTACACACCTACATTCCCCAGAATAAAAAAAATTGAAGCTGATCATCTACAGGCTTATAGTGGTTCTCTCTTTCACCGTTGATATTTGAGACAGCCACTTCCAGCTGATCTTTTAATGTATTTTTCTTCTTCCACTTGTTACAGATTACAGTTCGAATTTCTCCTCCCGGCGGGGTACCTGGAAGCGCCATGGCATCCTCAGCGCAGCTGCCTTGTAGGCCCAGTCTGTCTGCCACGAGCAAGCTCATCAGGCCTTGCTGAGGAATCAAATATATAAAGCTTCGAGGCTGCCATTCTCCTTTTAGAAAATAGTTATAGTGCATATATGCCTGTCAACTTAATTTCTTGGATAAATACCACTTTGTATTACCGCACATTATTCAATATAAAATATTATATAAAGAATAAGGCCTCGTTTGTGACAAATTATAATTAAATTTTTATTGATCACTATTCATTATTTTTAATATATATATTTTACTTCAAAGCCACTTTCAGCAACAAATTTTAAAAATTATATTCTGTGTAGAAGCTTTAAAAAATAATAAAATAGTTATCCCAAGTAAAATGCAATAAGCAATATTACACTAACAAAATTCTGATACATAATCCTTAATTATATGCAAGAGAGAAAAAGGTTTATGTAACCAAACCATCTAAGGTAACTTTATATATTATCTGCCTCTAGAGCCACTCCAACTTTTTCACGTATATATACTCGTTTCACATTCTTTCTCTAAGAGTAAAACATCCCACCGCTTGAGCCCCAACTTCGAGCATATTTCATTAAATTCAACCACCTCCCTCTAATATTCCTTATGTCATAACAAACGGTAGGACTGTCAGAATATGAACCACAAATATGCTGGAACGGATTAGCTTTTGATTTACATTTCTTTTGATAATTTAATTTTGAATAATTTTACTAAACTTATGAATTATGTAAATAACATTGTAAAATTTCAATAGCTTGCATTTAACTCCTCAAATGATAAATAAGACATTGCACTTACTGTCTTACAGCCAATAATATCACATGGAGTATATATATAATTGCACTAGCTTATATGATAACAGCATTAGCCATTCAACATTCAAATTTTCAAAACTTTGCAAAGCAAAAAACCAAACAGCAATCGTCACCTTCTAGTTATGCTTGCCCTGTAGATCAAAAGCCGCTTCCTTTTTTTTATTTCTTTATTACATAGTTTAATAATGACATGACATAGCCGCCTCCAGCACATTCCCTCGCTTTCGTCTCCTTTCCTATATATAATGCTCCATTGCCGTGTCATGCTCTCACAACAAACATCATCTCTCTTCTCAGCAACAAGCAAATAGAAGGCAACCTGATCCGAGCAAACAACTTATCTCCAAAACGCTTCTATCAGAAAAAGATTAGCTATGGATAGCGCTGCTGGAACTAACGAGAAGGTTGGCTTCAACTCATGGTGCCCATTTCTCATCTCTGATTCAATACAAAAGCTCAAGGAATTTGCCCAGAAGATTAGGAAGATTGGAAAAGATGACCCAAGAAGAGTTTTTCATTCCCTCAAAGTGGGATTAGCTCTCACTCTCATCTCAATTTTCTACTATGTCAATCCTCTCTTTCATGGGCTTGGCACTTCTACTATGTGGGCGGTGCTCACCGTTGTTGTCGTTATGGAATACACCGTCGGTATGTAAAAATATTTATATTTATATGAAAAATATTACGTGGCGATATTCAAACATAATTTACATCAAGATGGACTTGAAAGCTATTAGATTTGCATTAAGATTCACATAGTTCATGATGATATAAACGCTAATCTCATCGTAAATCTAAATACATCTTATTCCATCCTAATGCAATATTCTTAAAATAATTTTTTCATGATTTTCTCAAACAAAATTTTGCTTTTAAATTTTCAGGTGGAACGTTGAGCAAAGGCCTCAACCGGGCATTTGCAACATTGCTCGCCGGAGCACTTGGCTTGGGCGCACATCACTTGGCCGCGCTTGCCGGTGACAAAGGAGAACCCATACTACTCGGCGTGTTTGTATTCATGCTAGGTAAGGAACAAAACATTATAGTTACTATATTAATGAAACATTAATGTTGTGATACTTAAATAACTTTTTATGCTTGCAGCGGCTATGGCTACATTCTCCCGGTTTGTGCCACAGATAAAGGCGAGATATGACTACGGGGTGACGATATTTATACTAACATTTAGTCTTGTGGCTGTATCGAGCTACAGAGTGGAAGAACTTATCAAACTTGCGCACCAGAGATTGTCGACTGTAGCCATTGGAGTAGCGACTTGCCTCTGTACCTCCATGTTTGTCTTCCCAGTTTGGGCTGGTGAAGATCTCCATATGCTGGTGGCAGCCAATCTTGACAAGCTCGCATGCTTCTTGGAAGGTGAGCAACTAGGAATTTTGTTTTTGGTCCACGGTAATTTTTATTAGATAAAAATATATGTATATATAAAGTTAATTTTAATAATTTATATATAAAAAATTCATCTGGAAAAAACTAATTTTACTTTTTATATTTAGGACCTTTTGGAAAATATGAGTTCTAAGTGACCACTAATAAAAGATACTGCCATTATCTGTTAGGTATTTGAGAAAGTGGGGTTTAGGTTCTAAAACAACTTAACCCACTTGCGCAAGAATAAGCCAAACGGGGGGAGGAAAAACACCTAAATGAGTGATCTTATTTGAGATTATCCCAATTCAGTTGTAGGATATACATATATATAGTACTAAAAATGGATTAATTGGAGCTTTCGATGAATCAGAAAGAACAGCACCTCCCTTATGTCCTATAGAATGTATAAAACATTTAATTCTTTGATCTTTTGCTAACTTTTCCTGTGATGCCAACTTGAAGGTATGGGAGTGGAATACTTCGGCGAGAAGATGGAAAGTGGAAGTCTGGAGGGCAAGTCCTTCCTTCAAAGCTACAAAACCGTGCTTAATTCTAAGGCCACTGAGGATTCCCTGGTAAGAAAACAAGTGTCCTTGCTTGAGCTGATACTTATCTAAAAATTTCTGGTTCAAAAACGCATAATTTGAGTATAGCTATTCGTATTATATTGGATTAAAATCTGGTTTTGTGCAAAATGTTTTTTGATTAATTAGGCTAATTAATTATGTTTTCTGAAATGTAATTCAGGCAAACTTTGCAAGATGGGAACCCGGTCATGGTCGTTTTGGCTTCCGTCATCCATGGAATCAGTACCTCAAAATCGGAGCCGTCACTCGCACTTGTGCTTGCTCCATTGAGGCTCTCAACGCATACATTTCCACTCTTCAGCAGTCCCACCAGGTAACTAAGGGCTTAATTATCTTCTCCATTCTATTAGATCATCTACTCATCTTTTACTAATAAATACATAATCCTCTCAGACAACCACGGACCTGGAATTCAAGCAAAAGGTTCAAGCTGCCTGTGCAGAAATGAGCAAGGAAACTGGCAAGGCTTTGGTTGAGTTAGCCACTTCAATTCGGGAGATGAAGTGGTCTTCAACCGCCGGAAAACACCTGGCTATGGCGACGGAGGCTGCTTGCAGAGTGAAGGCGTTGGTTCCTGCGGAAAATTCTACTTTGCTGGAGGTGCTCGTATCAGCCACAACCGCCTCCCTGTTAACAGAAGTGGTGAGATGTACTAATCCCATCATCGCCGCGGTGGAGGAGCTTAGTCGGTTGGCGGAGTTCAAATGGCCAGAGCATGGTCGCAAAGCCGGCGCTGTGAAGCCAATCGCCGGCGCTGAGAGTCCGCCGCATGTTGTGATTGTTATAGAGAAATGATTAGTGATACGGTGCTCTGTTTTGGATTAAAAGAAAACGTTGACAGAAATTTATAAGAGGGAGATGATTGCATGCAGATTCGGTAAGAAGGAAAGTATGCATGATGACCTCTGTATATGTGGTTTATTTATTCTATTAAAATAAAGTCCGGGCTTTCATGTACATTAGAAAGGAGAAATATTTAGTTCATTGATTAACAATTCTGTATTGATATTAATATTACATTAATAATGAAATCTTTTGGGTTGCACAAATCTCATGATTTTCACTGGAGAGAGAGAGAGGGTTTAAAATATTATTCATAATGATAATCATAGGCTACAGGACATTTGATCAACTTGTCAATCAAACAGGCGACCTCCCACACCAGCTGAAGGGATGTGGCGGCCATGGCGACGGCCATGGCGACGAGCCTTCTTAATGTTGTTAGAAACTTTTAGAATCATCTGATCAATGAGATGATTACTTTGATTATAAATAATATCGTTGATAAACTAGTTATGAAATTTTTAGAAAGTTTTGATTAAGTTCATAAGTGTTTTAAGATCTGAATTTTATATATCCTATCAGTTGCACTCTTAATTTTAATTTTTTAGACTAGAGTAATTTGGGTAGTAAGATTTTTTGCATTACAAAACTTACAACTAGAAGAAGACCTGAAGCATGACTAATGGGCAGGGGCGGATCCAGCTCCTTTTTTTAGGGTGGGCAAAAAAATAGACAAAGATGTTTAGGATTGATAAAATTAGGACAAAAAATTATTTTAGAGGGGGCAAAATGTGCAAAATACCCAAAATATTCTAAAAAATTCCCTCTAAATATTAAAAAAAATTTTTTTGAGGGTGGGCATTTGCCCACCCTTAGGCCAATGTGGATCCGCCTATGCTAATGGGATTTTTTTTGGAACATCATTAATCATAATCATGAACAAGTTATTTTCCTTGATCCACTACAGAAAAATCGTCTATAACCGACGTAATTTCCAGCGGATTTCCGACAGACTATTTTTCAACGGATTTTCGGACAGATTTCCGACGGATTACGCTGAAATATTTCCAACTAATTTCTTGATAAATTTTCCGGCGGACTTATTTCTAACAGATTTTCCGGTGGATTTAAAAAATTCCTGAAAAATTCATTTATTCATAATTTAATTAATTAATAAATTTGTAGTTTATTTTAATTCATCATTAATTTAATAACTTAGTTTAATTAAGTATTAATTTAATAACTTATTTTAATTCATTATTGATTTAATAACTTATTTATGGAAATTGATTATTAGATATTTTTAAGATTATTCATTTTGTTAAATTAATTAAATTAAATTAAATATTATTAAACTAAAATTGATTAAAATAATAGGATTAATTAGTAATTAATTGTAATATTCTATATGTTTTAATATAAATATAAAAAAACAAAACTTTTTACAATTTTGCAAAAATGGAGAGGTGTTAGGAAGGCCTGCTCGCGGGCACAAGCAGGAGGGGGCAGGGAACCCCTCCTCGTGCGCAGGCGTGGCGGGCCAAGGTT